ACCGTCGGTTTTGAGTATCTTCAACCTTTGTCCACTTTGATTTTCAGTCTTCACCCTAAACTTTTTGAACTCAGCAAACACCTCATGTTTTAACTTTTTGAGTGATACCCATGTTATTCTTGTGAACTTATCCACAAATGACACAAAGTACTTGTTTCCTCTAAGTGAAGGTACCTTAAATGGCATACATACATCATAATGCACCACTCCTAAAGCATGAGTTGCTCTTGGAGGCATTTCTGATGAGAATGGAAATCTTGGTTGCTTGCCTCTCGTGCATATATTACATGATTTTTCTGGTGCCACAATCTTTGGAATTCCATGTACCAAATTCTTTGAAATCAGGTGCCCTAAGCTTATGAAGTTCAAATGCCCCAATCTCTTGTGCCACAAATCACTTCCCCTTCAACATCTCGCGCTAAGGCATTGGGTGTTTGTTGTTGCAACATTCACTTTGAATGTCCTGTTTCTTCCCAGTTCATAATGCATAATCAATTTCTGATTATAGTCATACAACTTTAAGAGATTGTCCTTCATGATTACTGAAAAACCTTTTTCTAGCAGCTGATCTACACTCATCATATTGCTATTCATGCCAGGAACATACCATACATCCTTGATCATTACAGTTTGCCATTATTCAATTTCACTCTGACATTTCCCATTTCTTCAGCATTTAGACACTCATCATCAACACATATGATCTTGATCTTTCTACCACAGTCAAAATCAACCAGCCATTGGTTGTTTCTAGTTAGTTGATTTGAACAGTTAGTGTCCATATACCACCAGTCTATCATTGCTCTACTTGCATTCTCAGATGCCATCAATAGCACATGTTCATCATCAGAATATTCTCTAGCTATGTTAGCTTCTTCACCCTTACTAACCTTGTTTGACCAACAATGAGCAGCAAAATGGCCAAACTTGTTGCAATTGTAAAATCAAACCTTTCTCTTATCAAACTTCTCATTTTCTTTCTAAACATTCTTATGTTTATTCTCATATGGATTGGAGAATTCTGACTTTTGAGCACCTCCACCATTCTTTTTCTTTCTCTCTAGCCATGCTTGCTTCTAGTTCTTCTTGACAAAAGAAGCTTTCAGAGTTTTAGCCTTCAGAGCATGTTTTGTTTTCCTTTCAGAGTTTCTTTCAGTCAGACGCAAATCTTGTGCCTCCAAACTACTCTAAAGCTCTTCAATTCTCATGGTGCTAGTGTCTTTAGAATGTTCTATGACTACAACCATGTAATCAAACTGATAAGTAAGTGATCTTAGTACATTTTCAATGATTACTTGTTTAGAGAATGTTTCTCCACAAGACTTCATC